GTTTTATCTGTGATACATCATGGAGATGTCCTCAATTCTTATCTTCATGAAAATCCGAGCTGATAACTTAAGCACCTTTTGACGTTTCAATGCAGAGCTAATAATTAGCATGGCTAGTCTGGTTACCATAATACACATTTCACAGACTAGAGAATGTTTATAATTTACAGTATATGAAAACCTTACTTTTTCCACATTGACGACAGGGCAACCCAACTCCTTTTCCCAACAAACTTCAAACATCCATGGAGCCTACTGACTTAAACTTAACTCTGGAAGTTAAGACTACTTTATTTTTGTTTGCTTTACTAGGTTGGCAATATACTAAAGCAAAAGTAAGTCATAAAAAATTCTTTGCTCATCGCTTTTCAATTACGAACTATTTCATGTAGTGGAAGAATTGATGACTGGACTACGTTATAGGAATATTGAAATGCTACTGGACCTCACTTCAGTATGTGCAATTAAAACAAATGCGTAGAGACCCACTAGCACAAATCATACTAACTTATATAGAGTACCAAACAAATGTACTGGCTAGATACAGCCTATCAGCCACTTCAGCAGGTCATTCTAGCTTCAGGTAGTTCTGTACCCCTTTATCACTGCCTTGAGGGTCCAGCAACCACAAACTGAACTTAGGGCAGAAACTGAATTTTCCAGATACTCCTCTGCATTTCCAGTCCCATGCCTAAAAGCTTTGCTTCACTCCTGTAAGTCCTAATAACAAGGTGCCATTCCTACATAAACAGTTTGCCATTGCTTATTAACATCAGCTGTTCTGGAAGATAGGTAATCCTGTCACCTTTGGGCAGAATTAAATGTTGTCATAATTGAAATGCTATCATGCTATCTGTGCTTTCTGCTCCCCATTAAAAAAAAAATACCTTCACAGCTAAAGCAGTAGCCATACTAGTGGGAAATTTGGAAAGTAAGACTTAACACCTATTTGTTCAAATGTTTTGTTGCATATTCCTAAGAGTACCATTGTATTTATTTTCAACATTATACCATTGCTGAAAAAGAAGCTGAGGAGATAAACTCTGTTTCAGTATTTCCTTATCCACCTCTTGGCACATCAATCCGCAAAGCTATCTCTGAAAGGCAGAGCCCAGCCAAGGGAATCAAGAGTATTTGCTAGATCACTCACTTAACTAGGAAATTCTTAGAGGTGAGTTAGATGCTGGAACTCATGAGTCACTCACATATGTTACCCAACTGGAAATCAGAGTGAGAAGCTATGGAAGACAATAGCTGCCTCTTTCACAAAGGACCACACTGCAACCTTACAGATTACGTGCCCTTTAACTGGAAACACTTAGCAAACAAATAACAAAGGAAGCCTTGCTTCCCAGCACCGCCAACAGATAATGTTTAAAGAAGTATTGAGCAGAGAGGTTACCTTTGGAAAATACAGCACCAGATTTTCAGTTTGGTTCACATTCAACTAAGTCAACAAGTTTCATAGGAAGGAATACAAACAAACAAACAAACTTACTTATGTTATCAGCTCAAGCTTCCCACCAAGTCAGTTTCTAAGTTTTACCATCAGGTCCCCCATCCTCCCAGTTACAGCAAGATAAGGAAATCCTGAATTCATTGCAGCTGGCCTGATGAGCCTTGTAATTAGGACATGCAGTGTGGTCTTTCAGCTTCTTGAGAGCACTAACCCTTTCACTGCCAAATCCTTTCTATCCTATTATAGCTCAAAATGAGACTCCATTTGAGAGGTATTATTTATTGCCTACTTTTAAAGAAATAGGTTGGCTTTGCTAGTGCCACATTGTGAACACAAAGCAGTCATTGCGTTTGGTGGAATTCATCAGAGGAGCAGTCTCCCTGCCACCTCCCAGACATGGACCAATACACTCGAGACCAGAAAGAGTCAGAATGCATTTCCCTTTTCCTCTCCATTTTCCTTTCTGCTGTCCTCTGTCTGAGACCATCAACATTCTCCCTGTCACTCTGACCATCCCCTGGACATCCCCTTTGAGTGTGATGCTAATTCAAAGTTTTTGTTCAAAACCCATCTTAAAAATCCCTTTGCAGCAGTGCAAACACTTAGTAAGGGCTGAATTGCCAATTTGCTCAATTAAATGCCCCAGATAAAAAACAAACACAACTATTTTATGTATCTCAGCAATATTCATTCACTCCTTGTCTTCTACAAAGTCAAAATGGACTAAATCACCATTTGCTTTCAGGACATTCATTACATGTTCCTGAGCTTTCACTATTTGATTCCAAGGGCTGGGATGAACTTTCCCACCACCACCCTTATGATATAACTTGGCTTTTTAGAATAGCATTTTTCCTCATCTCCTTCTGAAGAACTGGAGATTTCCACAGCTGACAACAGGATGTAGCACCATTTGTGCTGGTGCTCTTTATAGTATCTTTCAAGTGCCAGATTGATTTGTTTTTCACATTAACTCAGAGTTAAACTGGTTTAACACCATTTTCTCGGTCAAGTTGGCAGGAACTGCTGAAGTAGTTTTCCTAACTCTATACCAGGAGGAATGGGCTGCATCTTGGGATCATCTAGGAATTTTCCTTAATGAATTCATTGTTCTTTGAAGCATCAGTGACGTTGGCAATGCCCATCTTTTCCTTTACTGTTATCTTCTGGGATGTTGTATTTGTGTCTTTCCCTTTTTTAACACTGAGTCTCAATATGATTATAGGGAAGTATTTCATGGTGGTGTGTGCAGACTGGATGTTTTGGTGTGTCCAGCTTTGGCACGTATCACACACATGCCCTGCCAGCTGAACCAGGTGGCCACTTTCAGAGCCATGTGTCACGCTTCGGCCACAGAGCCCTCGGTGGCCGATAAGGTTATGATTTAGTGTCAGTACAGCCTGTAGTCTGATGGGATCCTAGCCTTTGACAAGACTGCTGGCTGCCATGGTTGAAACAAGCAAAAGTTTCTAAAGGTTTGCTGACAGAGTGGGCAAAACTGTGGTCATTGCAACCCTGACGTCTCCATATTGACCCGAAACGTGCCAAGAAGGGCTGGCGGAGGAGTGAATTATGTAATATCCAGTCGTGGTGCCAAATTGCTCCCTTATAATGGGGGTAATAGCTCAGTGTAAAAGATATGTAGAAAAGAAAACAGTCACCACTGTGAGCCGTATGTCCAATTCAAAGGCCGCTGAAGGCAGCAGATAGACATGTTTTGTTTTTTTGTTTTGTCACTGGGTTGGCCCTGGGGGCAGAAATAGCAGCCTCCTGATGGGCAGGAGTTATATATCCTGCATCCCCAGGGGATGTTCCAGATTTTGGCAATGGGTAAAGAATTTATGATTTCACACATTCTGTGCGTCCGTACACCCACCCTTCTATAAAAATCAAATAATAGGGAATTTGCAGGGTTGCTCATAGGTGTAATGCATGTGAAGTACTTTAAGAATCTCTTGGTAAGAGGGGCTCTTAAAAAGAAACATTTTGTATTATTCGTAGTAGCTGTAAGAGAAAGTGGCTCCTAGGGAGACAAGAACTAATCTTGAAGACCCTTAATTAATACTATTTTGGCATCCATAGCACTTCCCCTTCCTTTTAACAATTTGATGCCAAGAATTTCTCATTCCAATAGCGTCCAGTAAATCCTAGAAAATAAATTCCAGTGACCATTGGAGGTATCTTTGGTTGCTTGGTGGCTAAAGCAGCTAAAAGTGTTCTGTTAGTTTTTGAAATAGCTTTTCCTTTAAAAATGTGTGGGTTTAACCCCTGAAACAAAGTGGCTGATTCTCCTCTCAGCAGCCAGAACGTCTTGCACCAGTACAGAACTGTGCTGTGCTGGGGGTAAAATGAGGGGTGTTTCAGTGCCAGAACATGTGTGAAGTCCCCCGTGAGATCAGACTCTACTCTGTGGCCCTTTGAATTGATCCTATAGTCATGTTTGAGTATAGGTGGGTGAAGCGGATTATCTGTATGGTGGTGGCCTGCCACTTAGGCTGAATTTTTATTTACAGTATACACCATCTGTATTGGGATGAGATTCGGTGATAGTTGGGACTCATCCAGGTAATTGTGCCTAGAGCTTCAATATCATTCTTTCAGTATGTGACTGTTAACCAGAAAATGCACTCACTGTGCAGACATCCTGATGTTTGAGATCTCCGAGATAAATGTCATTCCATTTCAGATTTCTTTCACACTCTAAATCAATTTCAGTGCACGTCTTCAATATGTATAGAACATATATAAACATATGAAAACATGTACAACATATATAAAGACTCAATTGAAATATTTGGGTTTAATAGCACTGAAAAACAAGGTCTCCACAGAGGCAGATTAGACCTCTTCTTACCTCAATTTCCATAAGCCAGCAGTAATTCTCTGATGCCAGGAGAATTAGATGAGCATAGCATTACTGTGAGGTGTATCAGACCTAACATAGAAACACCCTGTGAAATGTGTCCCATCATTTCAGGGTGGAGAGGACTGTCAATAGTTGGTCCTGTTTCTACAGTGCTTCATTACCATGGTAATTTTTTAAAAAGTTATTATTTAAACTCCTACTACACGTTTCTTTTGAGCCTTAACACATTAAAGTGAATGAATCCTTGTTACCTCCATTAGGGAGATTAGCTATTTAGGTGATTATGGGTTTCCTGCTGTTCTAAAACTACTGAATGGCAATTTAGGTGCTCCTGATTTTGATTTGCATATTGAGAGAGTGAAGATCCTATTGAGGTGAAGTACAAAAACTAGGTATTTATTGTTTATCAGGAAATGTTTAAATCACAGCAGGTTTCCCCTTAGAAAATCTGAGATAAATGTAGATCTGAATGTTTCTTGTTATTGTTTGAACACAGGACTCTATGTTGACTGTGGCATTAACCAGATTGGAAATTAAAAATTACTTTACATTTTTCTTGGTGTTCTTTTCCTTTTCCTGACTTCAGTATTGTTCATGTAAGTAGTTTTGGACACAAAAATGTGCCCTTTTGTGGGTTGTTCTTTCAGCTTTTTACCTGCAAATTCTCACGATACCATGAATGTGGTATGATCAAACATAAGAAAGCAATCGTTGCTTAGTGGAAAGGTTGGACTAAGTGAACCGTGGCAAGCTCAGTGGTTTTCTCAGCAGTGGGGTGACCAGCTCCATTGCACTCCCTTCATGAAACCTCTTTATTAACGGCCCGTATATTGCGCTCCTCAAATAAGCAGCCATTTTGTTAATGAAAAAAAAAATCTCTTTTTTTCTGCTATTTTTATCCTTCCCCTACTCAGATCAGTCTCAGAACAATCCTTAACACAGTACTAGGTTTAATGTGACTTTTTTCTTTTCTTTTGCAGGCTCTGAGCAGCAGTCTATACAAGAGTGCATCACCTTATGGCTCTCTTAATAACATTGTGGATGGGTTAAGCTCCCTCACTGAGCATTTCTCTGACCTATCCCTTTCTTCAGAAGCCAGAAAACCCAGCAAGAGACCACCTCCTAACTACCTGTGCCACCTATGCTTTAACAAGGGACACTACATCAAAGACTGCCCACAGGTAAGGAATTTATACAATATTCTGGAAAAATTTTCACCATTCCTTGATTCAGTAACACAGAGTTTGACTGAAAAACTTCTTTAGAGTGAGTAGCACTGGAAAAAATATCTTGACAAAGTGCCAAGCTAGCCATGTGTTCTTTTAATCTATTCTTTATCACAATGCCAATGGAAAAAATACGCAATTTCATTTGCCTAATAAACATTACAAAAGATATTAATCTAGGCACAAGAATAGGTAGATTTTGGAAACTTTAAAAATGGCTACCATGTAATTTTCTGTCATAGAGATTGTGTAAAATATGTTTTCAAGCAGCACACTGTATAGTCAGTTTGGCAAAGGCACTTAAAAATATAACAAGTTACATATGCTAAAGGAGAAGAAATTGTTACACTGGATGAGAACTTTGAATCAGTGTTGCAGTAACACAAGCTTCAAGTATTTCTGGTACAAAATGTCTTTCGTCTCATAGAAGAGGTTTGCTATGCTTGGCAAGATGCGGTGATCTTGGACTCCTAGAACTTTTTTGTAGTGGCAAAGCTGGCAATATTTATTCCCTTAGAAAAGAGATATAAACTAGTGTGCACTAAAACCACTCACCAATCTGCAAGTTTTTTTTCTGAGACTCCAAGCGACGGTGTGCAAGGTTTCTCCATCCTC